ACCTAAGGGGAAGAAGCCAGACTCCAAATGTTACATAATATATGAGTTCATTTATATAACATTCTGGAAAATGAAAAGCAAAGGGACAAAAAATACCAAATCTGTGTTTGCCAGGGGCTGGGAGTAGTGAGTGAATTTAATTACAAAAGAAGCATAAGGGAGTATTTGAGTAGCGATAAAACAGTTATATCGCTTGATTATGATGTTGACTATATGCATCTTTCAAAACTCAGAGCTGTATATTTAATTTCTAATAAAATTTTCTGTATATAAACAAAAATCTTCTCCCCAAATTATACCTAAAACTGCTTTACAGAACAAAGTCTTCTTTGAACCTCCTGATAAAAGTATTATTTTAGATTAAAAATAATGTTAATAGGTTAATAAAGCAGTATTTCAAAATTATAAAAATACTCAATAATAAATTACACATAAGTAGGCTTAATATATAAGATCATTGAGTACCTGAAGTTTCTCTGTGGTTTCAATCTTACTCTCTTGTTCCACAGAAAAACAATGTAATGTCATAAAAAACATGTACAGAATTTGGATCCATCAAAGTTCTGTCTTATAATCTGACATCAAGATCATAATACAATTAGATATGGGAAAATATTAATAAAAATTCTAGAAGTTATTTTTAATTATGTTTTAAAAATATTGCAAATAAGAGATAAACATCATATTCTGTTTATATGTACACTTTTATGGGTCCTCTCTGTCTGTCTGTCTGTCTCTCTCTCTCTCTACACACACACACACACACACACACACACACACACACACACACATATAGATATATATATATAGTTATAACCAATTACTGAAGAGAAAGTTAAGTAATTGAGTAAATGAAATATTGTATTAGTAAATAATACACGCCATATATTTTATGAGATAAAAAGAAAGTCTTGTGGACACAGGCAACAGGATGGTGATTGCCAGAGGAAAGAGGGTTGGAAGGAGATAGAAGAGATTAAAGGGGAATAAATGGTGATGGGAGGACACTTGACTTGGGGTAGTCAACATGCAATACAATATACTGATGATATATTGTAGAATTGTATACCTGAAACCCAATGTCACCCCAAAAGATTCAATAAAAATAAAACTTTAAAAATCTAATAAAAGATTAGACCATTTCTGGCTCTTTAAAACACAATTATAATGATTTTACTCATTTCTTGTAAAAAATCATATTTTCATTAGACTTTAGTAAGCATTCAGCAAATACTTTTGGGCTTATTGATTACAATACTCTAAACTCAACATATATAAAATAACACTCACTCTATTTCTTCTAAAAGTTTTTTTCATGCTTGCTTATTTTTGTCAGTCATAGCCTTATTCTACCTAGGTCCCAGCCCAAATTTCTATAATCCTTGACTCATTTTACTTTTACCTTAAATTCTAATCAGTCTTCAAAGTCTCTTGAGTTTTTCTCCATGTGTCTTTTATACACTCATCTTGTATGTAATTATTCAGACTTTTATCAATTTACAGATGTTAGCATTTTACCAATCTATTTCCTATTTATTATGGCTAGATTAATTTTCTTAACAGGGATACAAAGGACATGCCTTAGGAGATGCATTTTATCCCTAGTTATGGAGGCAAATAAGTTAACTTGTTTCTCTTTCTGTGTCCCTATTATTACTCCCTAATCAATTTCAGAAGACTAGATGTACTCTGTTAAATGCAGTATACTTCAGCATTTTTTCTTCACATCACTTTATAAGCTACAAGAAGGCAGGGCAATATACTCTGTTTAAATTATGTACTTACCATTAGCACTCTGTGTAGAAAAGAAGATGCTTAATACATACTTATTTGGGATAAGGGTGAACAGATGATTTAATACATGGAATGTATAACATATAAACCATTTTATTAAAATATTTAATGTGTTTATAATAATCTATGTAATAAATGAGCCCCTTCTACAAGGTTTTCCTCCATTGTTTAAAATTTTTCACGAAGTAAATCTTTAAATTTCTTATTTCCAAAATTACAATGTAGGGTTCAGAAATTAAAATTTCTTTGTTGAAAGGATAAGCGTTTCTTATTGTCCAATCTCAAATTGCTTTTATAACATTTTGCATTAACATGAACATTCACCTTTATTATGGTATGTGGCAAGTAGTAAATGTATAGACCATTATAAAACATTGTTCAAGATTTTGTTGAAGTATCTATCTCTTCATCATTTATTTTAAATATGTTATATATTTTTTTATGTTCAAATGAGCTGGACAAAGTTGAACAATACTTCAAATAAAAATAGGTCAGAATAGGGGGATATAAAATGGCTTCAGAAGAGGTGGAAGATATGTACACTCACCTCCCAGGTCCAAACTGGAATTACCCATAAACTATAGAACAATCCACCTGAATAATCAACTGAAGACTAGCTGAGCAGAAATCTTATTATGAAGGAATTACAGAAGAAGCAACATAGAGACTGGTAGGAAGAGCAGAGATGGGGAAAGTGCAGCAGTAAAAAATCCGGAGGGATATTTCAGGTGCAAAGGTCCCTCCTGAGGAGTGAGGTATCTCAACTCCATCCCTGGCTCCCTAACCCAGAGCACCAGAGATGGGAAAAGACACCCACATAACATCTGGCTTTGAAAATCAACAGGGATTTTGTCTGCCAGGGAGAGAAGAGAGTATACTAGAAACCTAGGCACTCTCTTCAAGGGCCAGCACACAAAATTTTGTTCTTGGGCACTCACCTGGGGCTCCTACGAAGGGAAGTCAACTTAGAATGAACAGGAGTCATAAAGAGAAGATCTGGATTGCATGGCCATGAGCAGGGATCTGGAGAGTCAGCCACAAAGGTCCCTGTGCTAAGTCTGCATCCCACACCAACCACAGATGTCAACTTCCCTGGGCAAGCACTCCCATCCTTCAGCACCAGTTTAGGGCTGTGCAATAATCCAGTCTACAGAACTTTCTATCGTCCCATGATGCCGGTCTCTGGGACCTGCAAAAAGTCTGCTGCAACTTGGGCACCGTGCGTACTATCTTGGGGACAATTAAGGAGATTCAGGCAAATGCAGGAGTTGTCAGAGACTCAGGGGGTCACTGAGTGGTGTGGTTCTCAAGTGAGGGCCATGCTTACATACCCTGAGCAAAATTGGAACCCATCCCTCAAGAGGAGTCATACAAGCCCTACCTTTCTAACTTCCTGTGTCACCACACTGCTGAGCTGGTATCCTGGAGAAAAGTATGCTAGCTGCACCCAACTGGTATGTGCAGTGCACTTTTCAATGGGAAAACGTTGTTGGGGATTCAGTCAGACACTGAGTTGCATAGCTGGAGCACGGGCCATTTTCCACCTGTTGTGTCCAACCAGCACCTGTCCCCCAACAGGAGACCCAGTAGCCCCACCCTTCTCCTTCTGACACCTGGTGGCCACACCTTACTGAGATTGCATCCTCCAGAAAAGTGTGCTGGCTGCATCCAACCTGGACATGTGATGTGCCTTTTCTTAGAAAGTTCTTGTCAGAGATTCAGACAGACACTGAGTTATGTGGCTCTGAAGTGAGGGCCATTTTTCCCCTCCTCGTGTGTCACAAGCACCCATCCTCCAACAGGAATCCCACTGGCCCCATCCTTTCAACTGATGGTTTTCTAGACCTGTGAGCTCGCACTCCGCCAAGAAGTCTGCTGGCTGCACTCAGCCTGCATTTTCCATGGGCCTTTCTTAGGGAGTTCTGATCCGAGACTCCAGCAGAAACTGAGCGGTATGGCTCTGGAGTAGGGACCACATTCCCACTGAGGGCCTGACAGGAGCCACCCCAAACAGGAGATCCATTTCTCATACTTCCCACTTGGTTGACCCTTCATATCAACTTGCACCTTGTGGAGGAGCCCACATACTGTGGCCCACTCTACAGACTTTGTTCAGAAGTCTCTTGAGAAACTCCATATAGCCTGCAGGTGGAGCAGCCAGCCAGGGGAGGCAGATCTCAACATTCTTTGGGCCTTTTACTGATTGGCCCAGGGAAACAAAGCTGGAAGAAGGTGACATTAGTACACAGTTTGGCCCCTCCCACACATAGTCAAGCACAGTAGCTGCAGCCAAAAACTACAGATCACTTGGTAGCTCCAGCCAGGTAGCCAAAGGCTGGTTACAGGCAGTGTCTGACTTGACCTGCCCCCAATCCCTCCCAAGTGGAGCCAGACACAATACACACAGTAGTGGGCTTCAGACCACACCAGAACACAATCTATTTAGTCACCCACGTGGCAAAGTCAAAGGAAGATCCAAGCAGGCAACAGACCCTGCTGGGGACAAATCTACTTCAGGCGCAGCCCTGCATAGTGGCTCACACAGCGAGGTTAGAATTGATCCTCAGTCAGCCAGCCTGAGGGCTAACCCCACTCAGAGAAGGACCAATATCAATCAAGACTGAGCTACAAAAGAAGAGCTCGCATAGCCATTCAAGAGACATTCTGAATCACCTAGCTCAGGTCATCAGGAACATTGTGTCACTGAGCTCCATGAGACATATACTATATAAAACATACTACCAAGATTAGGAGACATAGAGGATCTACCTAATACACAGAGACAAACACAGAAAGGCAGACCAAATGAAGGATAAATCAATATGCTTTAAGTAAAAGAATAAGAGAAATCTCCAGAAAAAAAAGAACTAAATGAAATGGAGGCAAGCCAGCAACCAAATGCAGAGTTCAAATGGTTATAAGGATGCTCAAAGAACTTGAGAAAAATGAATGAACTCAGTGATAACTTAAACAAAGAGACAGTAAGCATTAAAAAGGACATAGAAACAATAAAATATAATTAGTAATAAATAAAGAATACAATATCTGAAATGAAGAATACTCTAGAAGAAATCAACAGAAGGTTTAGATGAAATAGAGGATTGAATCAGTGATATGATAGGAATATAACAGAAAAAAAAAAGCAAAGCAGCAAAAGAAAAAAACAAATAAATGAAGAAAGTCTAAGGAATCTCTGGGACAACTTCAAGTGTAACAACATCTGCATCATAAGGGCGACAGAAGAAGTAAGAGAGCAAGGGATGGGGAACCTACTTGTAAAAATGATTAAACTATTTCCTAACTTGGTGAAGGAAAAAACATACCTGTCAAGGAAGCACAGAGAGTCCAAATAAAGACGAACCAAAAGAGATCCACACCAAGACACATCATAATTAAAATGGTGAAGGTCAAAGACAGAGAGAGACTCTTAAGAGCAGCAAGAGAAAGATGTTAATTACCTACAATGGAGCTCCCATAAGATGGTCAGTTGATTTCTCAACAAAACTTTACAAGCCAAAAAGGATTGGCAGAAATACACAAAATGAAGAAAAACAAGAGCCTACAATCAAGACTACTCTACTCAGCAAGTCTGTAATTTAAAATTTAAGGTGAAATAAAGAGCTTCCCAGACAAAATCAAACAAGCAAAAATAGTATTACAAGAAATGTTAAAGGTTTTATTTTTTTAAAGAAGTACATAGTTAAAAAAATAAAATGGAAATAAACATGCACAGTGGAACCTTGATTGTCAAACTTAATTCATTCCAGAAGACTTTTGGAGAAGTGATTTTTTTTTCAAAAACCAAATCATTTTTCCCCATTAGAAATAATGGAAATTGAAGTATTCTATTCCAGACCCCCAAATGATTCACTGTTTTAACCCTTTTTTTATATACAGTAATGTCTAATGTACTGTTTAATTTATAAGTAAACACATTAAAAACAGGGTATGTAAAAACAGGGCATGAAATGTAAATGAAAAATTTTTTAAAAATGAAATGAAATGTATGGTAAAAAAATGAACATTTATGCAAGCACTAAAACTTACCTTTAATGTTGAGAGGTATTGATGACTGAAGATGAAGAGGAGAGATAGAAGAAAGTTATCAGGTAGCTGTTCTTGGTTTCTTTCTTTCCTTTGCCTTCTTGCTGCACTAGAATTTGCTTTAAGTACACTTGGCCTCTTTTTCACTAAAAGTCTATCTAAAGATGTTTGTTTTTTCCCATGTTTTAACACTTTCCTGAAGTGAGACACTGTATTGCCATTGAACAAGTTTATTGCACGGTTTGCTACTTCTTTGACAGGGTGATATTTCTTAATAAAACTTTCCATTTCTCCCCATTCCCCAAGCATTTCCTTGATTAGTGAAATAGTAATATCTTCCCTTCCCTCTTCTTTTTCTGAAGAGAGCTCCTCAGATACCACCTGTGGCTGCTCCCTCTGAAGGTCATGGTGTTCCTCTGTGGTCAGCTCAGCACTGTGGTCCTCCACCAACTCCTCCACATCATCATCATCTACCTCCAAGCCATGGACTCGCCCAGAGACACAATAACCTGCACAACAGTCACAGGCTCATCCTCAAAGCCCTCAAAGTCTCTTAGAGCAACAGACTCAGGACCCAATTTCTTACAGGCTGGTTGCATAGTCCTGGGAGGCACTTTCCCCCATGCACTGCATAAGAGACTCAGGAAAGTGAGGATATTAAAAGGTTCCCTCTGGAACTCACTGAGGGTTAAAGTAGTTTCAGAGGTCACCTCAAAACACCTCTGAAACAGTGCCTTTGTGTAGAGTTTCTTAAAATTAGAAATGACCTGTCAGTCCCTGGGCTGGAAGAGAGGAGGGGTGTTGGAGGCCAAAACCTATCAGTGATGCAGCTGTCCTCCTCCACCAAAGAAGCCTTCAAACCTGGAAGGTGACCAGGAGCACTGTCCTTCACAAGAAGTGCTCGGAGTGGCTGTTGTTTTTCCTGGAGGTGTTTCTTCACACTTGGAACAAACATTCCATGAATCTACTGAATAAAAAATTGTGTGGTTACTCAAGCTTTGCCATTAGCCCTCCTCATCTTATTGAATTTGTTCTGCATGACATTATTGTTTTTGAAAACTTGCAGGTTTTGAGAATGGTAGATGAGTAGAGGCTCCGATTTAAAGTCCCCACTCGCATTCCCACACAACAATGACGTCAGCCTGTCCTCCATTGGCTTGCGTCCTGGCACTGACTTCTCCTCCTGTGTGATGTAGGCCCTCTTTGGCATTTTATTCCAGAAGAGGCCTGTCTCATCACAATTGAACACTTCTTGGGAACAAATCCTTCGGCCTCTACATATTCTTGAAATTCTGTCACAAAATTTTCACAGCTGCTTTGTTAGAACTGGCAGCCTCCCCATGCCTCACTACACTTCTTTTCTTAAATTTATTTAACAACCCCCTGCTAGCCTTAAACTAACCACTTTCAGGACTCATTCAAGGAATGTCTTTCAGCAGCATCTTCGCTTTTTCCATATCATTGCTTCTAAATGCTGTCACCAGCTACAAGCTTTTCATTTACCCAAATCAACAATAATTTTTCTACCTCTTCAGTTGTCTGTGGTTGTTTTGTGAGCACTTTCACACTCTCAGCATTCTTTTTTTAAAATATATTTTATTGATTTTTTACAGAGAGGAAGGGAGAGAGATAGAGAGTTAGAACTATCGATGAGAGAGAAACATCGATCAGCTGCCTCCTGCACATCTCCCACTGGGGATATGCCCGCAACCAAGGTACATGCCCTTGACCAGAATCGAACCCGGGACCCTTCAGTCCGCAGGCCGACGCTCTATCCACTGAGCCAAACCGGTTTCGGCAACATCAGCATTCTTGATGGCCTCTTTATGTTTTAAAATTGTGTTAATCGTCAATTTTGCAATGCCATACTCGGTAGCCAAATAAGACACTGAAGCACCACTATCATATTTTGCAATTATTTTTTAACCTCTGTCATTGTTCTCACAAATTTCCTTTTCAGTTTGCTGCGATCACTAATCTTCTTAGTACCCATGGTGATTTATTGTTCATATTTAATAATAATATAAGCAGCAAAAAAACACATGAAAATGTTCACAGCACAATTTTCTGAGATGCTAACAATTAGTGGTAAACTGACTCATACTCCCATATTCTCTCCTTTGTTACCTGAGAGATGCATGACTGGTCATATAGATATCAGCTTAATACCTGAATTTGCCATAGCATAATACCTGGTTTGAGAATTGAATTTTTGTTTGACAACTGAAACATTTTTTTTTCCCAATGAATAACTTGGTCAACAAATTATTTGAGTATGGAGAAGTTTGATAACTGAAGTTTTACTGTTACTATTAATAATCATTTTGAATGTAAATGGCTTAAATACTCTAGTCCATCGGTTCTCAACCTGTGGGTAGTGACCCCTTCTGGGGGTCGAACAACCCTTTCACAGGGGTTGTCTAAGACCATCAGAAAACACATATATAATTACATATTGTTTTTGTGATTAATCACTATGCTTTAATTATGTTCAATTTGTAACAATGAAAATACATCCTGCATATCAGATATTTACATTATGATTCATAACAGTAGCAAAATTACAGTTATGAAGTAGCAACGAAAATAATTTTATGGTTGGGGTCACCACAATATGAGGACCTGTATTAACGGGTCGTGGCATTAGGAAGGGTTGAGAACCACTGCTCTAATCAAAATACACAGTGTAGCTGAATGGATTAAAAACAAACAAACAACAAAACAAATAAAAAAACAAGACTCATATATATATACTATCTATATATATACTAGTATATATATGTATTATATATATACTATACTATCTATTCAGAATGCAAGATACACACAGACTGAAAGTAAAAGAATTCAAAAAAGATATTTTATGCAAATGGCAGCAAAGGAAAAGCTGGGGTAGTAATACTTATATCAGACAAAATAGTTATCAAAGACTATAATAAGAGCCAAATATGGACATTACATATGATAAATAGATCAATCCAGCAAGAGGATATAACTCGTAATCATTTATGCACTGAACATAGGAGCACCTACTTTTACAAATCTTAATGGACATAAGGAGAAATTAACAGTAATATAGTCACAATAAGAAGTTGTAAAATCCAATGACGTCAATGGATAGATCTTCAGACAAAAAATCAACAAGGAAACAGCAGCCTCTAATGACACACTAGATCAGATAAATTTAATTGATATTTTCACACCATTTTACCCAAAGCAGCAGAATATATCTTTTTTTCAAGTGCAACATGAAACATTCTCTAAGATAGACCAAATATTAGAACATAAAGCTATCCCAATAAATTAAAAAGGACTAAAATCATATCAAGAATCTTCTTCTACCACAATAGTATGAAACTAGAAATCAATTACAAGAAAAAAATTAAAAATACACAAACACTTTAAGGCTAAATAACATAATAACATATAACTAAACAATGAATGGGTGAACAATACAATAAAGAAAAAAAAACAAAAGTTACCTTGAGACAAGTGAAAATAAAATAATAACAACACAAAATATCACTAAGAGGGAAATTCCTACCAATAGAGGCTTATATCAAGAAGCAAGAAAAATCTCAAATAAACAATCTAACTTTACACTTTAAGAAACAGGGAAGAGAACAACAAATAAAACCTAAAGTGAGCAGAAGGGAAAAAATAATAACCAGAGTAGAAATAAATGAAGTGAGGTCTAAAAAAACAAACAAACAACAACAACAATACAAAGACCAAAGAAAACAAGAGCTAGTTATTTGAAAAGATAATTAAGATGATAAACCTTTAACCAGACTCATCAAGAAACAAAGAGAGGCCGAAACCGGTTTGGCTCAGTGGATAGAGCGTCGGCTTGCAGACTGAAAGGTCCCAGGTTCGATTCCGGTCAGGGGCATGTACTTGGGTTGCGGGGCACATCCCCAGTAGTGGGTGTGCAGGAGGCAGCTGATCGATGTTTCTAACTCTCTCTCTCTCTCCCTTCCTCTCTGTAAAAAATCAATAAAATATATTAAAAAAAAAAGAGAGAAGATGTAAATAAATAAAATAAGTAACAGCTGACACCACAGAAATACAAAGGAATATAAAAAATATTAAGAACAACTATATGCCAACAAATTGGACAATCTGGAAGAAATAGATAAATTTTTAGAAATATTAATAACCCAACCTGACTCAAGAAGAAACAGAAAATCTGAACAGACTGCTTACAGCTACTGAAGTTGAAGCAATA